TTAACATCAGAGAGTGCAGAGCTCTGTGCCTGCAGCATTTTTCTAAATGAAGCAGAGTGTTTGAGGATCAGGACATCCATAGGGATATCAAGGTGCTTGTTTAATAAAGTCATTGTCCTCCCAACCCTACTATATGCCTGCGAAACATGTACTGACTATAGACATCACATTCAACTACTGGAACGATTCCATCAGCGTTGCCTCCAAAAAATCTTCAAATTTCTTGGGAAGACAAGGGGACAAATGTCAGCATGCTGGAAGAAGCAAAGACCACCAGCATTGAACCAATGGTCCTCTGCCATCAACTCCGCTAGGCTGGCCACGTTGTCTGAATGTCCGATCACCAATTCCCAAAGCAGTTTCTATACTCCCAACTCTGGAATGGGAAATGTAATGTTGGTTGACAGGAAAAGAGATTTAAAGATGGGCTTAAAGCCAACCTTAAAAACTATGGCATAGACACCGAGAACTGGGAAGCCCTAGCCCTTGAGCACTCTAATTGGAGGTCAGCTATTACCAGCAGAGCTGCAGAATTCGAAGAGGCACGAATGGTGGGTGAAAGGGAGAAATGTGCCAAGAGGAAGGCACATCAAGCCAACCCTGACGTGGACCGCCTTCTACTTGGAAACAGATGTCCTCACTGTAGAAGAACAATCGGATCAAGAATAGGGCTCCACAGCCACCTACATATCCACTGCCAAAACACTACACTTGGAGGACCATCATCCTTGGCCTACGAGGGATCACCTAAGTGAGGGAACATAATAATCATAAGCATAACCATGCTTATGATTATTAACAACCTACTTTTTGCTAGGACTACAAAGGATCAGCTGTTCAGATTACAAAGATTTTTCTTTTTTAAAAAAAGCTTTATTTCTTTTGGGTTTATATACAATAGTTACAGGATAGTGTACAAAGCAGGGGGTGGTAATTGTCACTGTATTGTGCAAAAACAATTCAGTTGGAGGATCCACATTCAGTTATGATGTCCTTGAAAGTAGGCACCAAAGCAAGCCAGTATACCTTCAAGGCATAGAAACAGTCAACCAGTTTTACAGGTTTCTTCAGCATAGTACCTGGTGGGTGGTTACATGGCTACATTTTCCATTCAAAAACCAAGTCAGCCACATTGCACCTGTCCCAATTTTAAAAGTGTCATATATGGTAGATCCATATTTGCCAGCTTGTGGTGTCTTCTGCAAAAATTCTATTTCCTATCCTTTACATAGATGTTTTCTTCTCCAGGTTTATCTCTTTAAGATAATGTGTATTCAAAGCAGCCAGAACTCTGCCAGCATTCCTAAGCAGTGGTCATACTTCTGGGAGTGATGGGAATTGAAGTCCAAACATGTCAGGGCAGGTTGCATTCAAGCACTGGCTTTTAATGGCAGAAGCTACAACTTGTTTTGGGCCCAACTTAAAGTCAGTTCCTAGGGTTATAGGAATCGCTGTATTCTTTTGGGGTTACATCCTCACAGCAGAAAACGATGGGAAGAACAAGCAAGTTGAAAAGGGTTTCATAAATTCCACACAGCTGGTTCTCTGAAATGTGATGCGGCTCTAAAATATTTTTTTGCGATTGTTCCTTAAGTTATATGCTTTCAAGTTAGTTCCAACTTATGACAGGTAAGAATTATTCAAATGTGTACGTTTGCCTTCCTGAATGTGTGCAGCTTACCCAAGGGCATCTAGATTTCCGTGGCTGAGCTGGAATTCAAACCATGGTCTCCAGAGTCATTGCCCAGCACTCAAACCATTATGTCATGCTGGCATGTGATTGAATAACTTACCAAATTGTCAAACCTGGTAAACTGATAGCTTTGTATTGTGTTTAGCTAAGCAGCAAGGAACATCTTCCCAATGTTCTAATTCTAAACAGTATACAACATCACAATGCTTTACAGTTGGTATTGCACATATACTTTGGCAAGAGAGCTAGCTTAATCCCCCCTCCTCACATGGAAGATTACTTCTCTGAAGCAGAAAATCTCTTCTACAAGAGTCTTGTACTGTTTTGAGTATGACTACATAGAGCCTTCATACAAGAGCATGCTCACCTCTTCAATTGTCCTCCATCACATAGAGCAACAGTTTGCAATTATGGCTGATTCCTCCAAAGTTACAGCAGTCTTGAATTGCAGTTCCAATCACTGGATTGTCACTCCAGCCACTCATTTCCAGTGTTCATGTTCCATACCAGATGGCAAAGTGGGCAAATGCAATTCCGAACATATATACCCACTGGATATTCTGCCTGATGGGAACTACTGTCTCTAGTACTATCTGGAAGGTTGCATTTTGCTACTTCAGCATATCTTGCAGTGTACAAGACAAGTGAGAGGTTAAGGCCAGTACTTTATCTCTCCTTAAAGAGTCTTCAAGTGAGCCTTGTCTAATGCAGAATGAGTTGACTTTTAAATCCCCAATTAGAGTAACTAATTWTCCTGAAACAATCTAGCTCTTGTTCATGACTGTTGTCTCTAACACCGACTATTGGTTAAAAGGAGGRATTCTGAATGTGGGAAGGAAAACTACTTCCCATTCAATGCCACCTTTTCACAATGGCTATCCCCCCCCCCCCCAAGATAACCATCTAAAAGAAAACAATTAAAATGGAGAAATCCAAAATAAATAGCTCTCTACTCAGGTATCCAAATCTGAGGTATTTGAGTGTTATTTCTTACTGTAGGTTGCAAAAATAAGGTCAACTTTTGTTTACCTGGCCTCTTGACAAACTGGGTGGAAGAGAATAATATGATTGGCACCAATCACTTTCAGCAAAATGTCTTAAGTGACATTTAATGTACTGAACACATGGCATCACCAAACATGGCTTCTCATGTTAGTGTGTAACTAGAATGCCGATGAAGTCACAGACAAAAGTGACAGTATGACCCACAGGAATAGTCCCTGCAGGTTCACCTATCCACCTCACTGGGCATGAGACAAGGAATTCCCTCCTGGAAACACAGAAGAGTGGAAGACACTCTGGCACCACAAGATGCAGAGCCAACCTTAAGAAATGGGGCTACAATGTGGAGTTCACGACATGCAAGTGGGGAGAAGAGCAAACCACAGACCACCTACTACAATGCAATCTGAGCCCTGCCACATGCACAATGGAGGACCTTCTCACAGCAACTCCAGAGGCACTCCAAGTGGCCTGCTTCTGGTCAAAGGACATTTAGCATAATGCCAAGTTCTTTCTTTCTTAAAAAAACTTTGTTTTTAAATGCATTTGAACTGTACCCTCAACTTGTGTCTGACACAATAAATACCTATCCAGCTCTTAGTAGAAATGTCCCGTCTTAATAATTGTGTAGATCCTCCAGTAAATTCTGTGGCATGCTCCCACCAGAAGTTACATCATAGTATCACTGAAGGACCCAACAAATTCCTAAAGATACATTGAGGTATTTTCTAGATCCTCTGGCAAGACACTATGATAACTTCTGGTAGAATTCATTCATTTCATTAGGTTTCACAATTATCCAGAGATTTCCATTTCTACAGGAAGTCCAGAAATGTTTTTCCCCACACCTATGGCAGTAGTACTGTAATCTATTAATGCCTGGCCGATGGTGGTGTATTCATAGTAAATTCCAAGGCATTGCTATTCTGAACTCCAGCTACACATATGTCCAGATAAGAAAAAGATTACAGATCAAACCGTTTGTTACTGAAATCCAACTGATACTATGGTTAGATGAGTTCTTGGTGTCAGTTCAGCATATGTTCTAAGGTGCCTGCTTTAAAAACAAAGCTATGGAATTGACTTAAGTTTCCCAGACATTCTCTTACCCATCTAAAAAGACTGGCATCCTCATTTTCTGATATGTTGATGTAATTTACTGTTGGGCTGATGCTTCATTACCTCAGCTGTTCCACACTAGGGGTGAGGTCCAGGTAGGTCTCCACATGTGGTTGCACCACAACACTCATCACCCTTAACCTTCTCCCTAGGATCCATGGGAGAAGAAGTCCAACCACGTTTCAAAGAGGACACCTTCCTTAGCCCTCTTCTAACATCTAAGCTTTAACAGTCTCCTGAATTGGAACCGCTGTACTATTTTTCCTCTTGACAATGGACGTAATTAGTAGCTGGAAGGTTTTCCCTACATTCTGAAACCATATAAAAATACAGCAACACACAATACAGTAGAAAACCCTGAAGGCCAATGCAAAACAGCAGCAAACTTGGCTTGCCCAAGTGAACGAATATACAATACCTTCCCAAGCACAGCAAAAAAGAATATTTAAAATAGCAGGATGGGGGATCTGTACAGCTGAGAATTGATGGGGAAATAAAACAAGCTGCCAGATTGTATTGAAGTGCTGTGTAGGGAAAAATAGAGGATTGCTAATGGTGAAGGCACCACCCTAGTAATAAAATGGTAAATGCTATATTACCACTATTTTGGAGAATTAGTTTCACTCAGGAGTGGAATTCTATATTACAAATGCTAAGATCCCTGGAGAGGATAATAGCAGTTTTTCATAAAATTATGGTTTTCCTAGAGGCCCAATGGCACCTATTCCTAACAAGAGGATTCTACAAAAAAGGAATTTAATGGAAGGACATATTTTGATGTCTGGAATAAGCAGATATCTTCTCCATACTATAGATCTATTCAGACCTTCAATAATTCCACTTGGAGATGAAGCTTTTGACATTCCAGACCTTAAATAATTCCACTTGGAGATGAGCCTTTTGTCATCCCAGGAAGATAGTCTTGTAACTCAGCCAACAGTTATTAAGGTGAACATATATGTATACTCCATGACACCAGGAGCCCTATCTTTCTTCTCCCAAGGGAAGTAAGTCTATTGACCTTCAGTGTAAGTAGGCAGGATGGGGTGATACCAACTAGTCCATAATGCAATAGGTGGTAGTGTATTTCTGTGGATCTTTTTAAAATCATGATTCCCTAGATCTCAAAAACAGCTCTCTTTATAAGGCAATAAAGCTGGCTGTATAAAGAAGGTGAAAGCCTCAGTTAACATTAAAAGGAAGCTTTATACAGACAGAAATGTACAGTTTCTACATCCAGGGATATGTTTCTTTTTTTTTAAAAAAAATGACTGATTGCATCTCAAATTTGTAACAGGTGCATTAGATTATAAAGCTATAAATCTAAAAGCTGGAGGGCTGCTGAATTGCAGGGCCAGCTTCACACCCACTTAGATCGCTTCTGATTTGGTTTTCTTTGATTTGGTTATCTTCCGACCGCATATACATCAGGAACACTGTAACGGTGGCAAAAGTCGCAGCGTTTACAGGGAAAGCCCGGAGAAGCGTGGATGTGAGACCCCTGGTGAACACCCTCAAGCCTTCGGCATGGTAGCTTTTCCTAACACAGTCCAGAATGCCCTGGTATCGCATGACTCCGCCAACTCCATCAGCCTGAAGGCGGGACTTGATCACATCAACTGGGTATGTTGATAGCCAGGAGACAATTCCAGACATACCTCCGGCCAACAGCAGTTTCGGGATAATGTAATTGTCCTCCGCCTCACAGCCCATGTATCTGGTTAGGCAGTCATAAGTCAAAAAGTAGAAACCAAAGCTGGGGGTCTCCCGCATGAACGTGGAAGCCATGCCCCGGTTGATGCCCTTCAGGCCTTCTTTGCGGTAGATCTTAACCAAGCAGTCCAGGGAGTTTTTGTAGTTCTTGGACTTCAACTTGTATTCGCCCGTTCCTTGGAGCTGCATCCGCGTCTTAGCCAGTTCCATGGGACAGCATATGACGCACTGGATGGCACCTGCCGCTGAACCTGCAAGGAACTGGTTTAGCGGTGTGTCCTTCCCGAGAGCACGGATCGTGTTCCCTTGCACCCCAAACACAAGGGCATTAATGAAGGTAAGTCCCATCATGGGTGACCCAATACCTTTATACAGTCCAAAGGCCTAGGAGAGAAAAAGACAAAAGCAACTATGTTAAGAACCATCTTTAAGACTCCAGAACCCAATGTTAAATTACTTTGAATGGTTTAAACTAAAACGGACCTTCCCCAAATGCTTCTAATTACAACTGCCATCACCCACAGCAATAGACAGGAATTACGTAAGTTATAATCCAACACATCTGAAGACCACGGCATTGGTTAAATGAGGAATTATTATTACTATGTTTATTTATATCCTACTTTTTCTCTCCACAAGGCGACTCAATAGTATAGTATATATATTATAATATTATATATTTATTTGTATCCTGCTTTTCTCTGTTATTGAAATGAACTGTGATGCACAGAATGTAAATATTTAAGTAGGATTAAACATATACATTGGTTTAAAAAACACGTAAACAGTTAAAATATAGCATTGTCGAAGGCTTTCATGACCATTATCACTGGGTTGTTGTAGGTTTTTCAGGCTGTATGGCCATGTTCTAGAAGCATTCTCTCCTGACGTCTCACCTGTATCTGTGGCAAGGATCCTCAGAGTTTGTGAGGTCTGTTGGAAACTAGGAAAATTGGGTTTAAATATCTGTGGAAGGTCCAGGGTGGGAGAAAGAACTCTTGTCTGTTGGAGGCAGGTGTGAATGTTTTAGTTGGCCACCTTGATTAGCATTTGATGGCCTGACAGTGCTTTGTTACTGCCTGGGAAATTCCCTTGTTGAGAGTTGACCAGGTATTCCTGATTGTTTCCTATCTGGAGTTCCCCTGTGTTTGAATTTTGTTTTTGTTTTTTTACTGTTAGAATTTTAGAGTTTTTTTAGTACTGGTAGCCAGATGTTGTTCATTTTCATGGTTTCTTCCTTTCTGTTGAAATTGGCCACATGCTTGTGGATTTCAATAGCTTCTCAGTGTAGCCTGCCATGGTAGTTGTTAGAGTGGTCTAGCATTTCTGTGTTCTCAAATAAGAACAACAAATCATTTATTTCGGTCATTGACCAGCACAAGAAATAGTCACATTTTCATACAAACTTGGTATGTTTGGTACATTAAAAATATAAATATAACTACTGAAGCACAATATGGGTGAGGGAGCGGAAGGGGAAACAGGGTAAAAACATATAATGCCCAGATCCATCACCAAATTGTAGATTCAGGGAAGAAGATTACTGGACACACAGTTAACTTTTGGGTGTTCTCAAATAATATGCTGTTTCCAACAAACCTCACAACCTCTGAGGATGCATGCCACAAATGCAGGTGAAACGGCAGGAGAGAATTCTTCTAGAACATGGCCATACAGCCCACAAAACCTAGAACAACCCAGTTAAAATACTATACAGCACCCTCCTGGGTTGCTCTTAGAAACTTTATTCTTTAAAGGCTTGCTTGAATAAAAGGTTGCAAAGACTGCAGGGAGGGAGCCATTCTGTCTTCCGTGGGGAGTTCCAGAGATGAGAGATGCCACCAAGAAAGCCCTCCTCTCTTGTGTCCCCACCATCTAAGATTGCAATGGTTGTGGGACTGACAGAAGGGTTTTTCCTGATGATCTCAGGGCTGGAGATATGAGCTGCCCAATAGTCTGGTTCTGAGCCATATTGTAATAGTGGCTTCCTAGACATTTTGGACTGATACTCCCATCACTGGCCAGGACTGGAAGTATGAATTCCTATCAGCCCCTGGTAGCATGGCCAATGGTTAGAGGTCCTGGGATTAGTAATCCCAAAACATATGGAATGCATCACATAATTTACCCATGAACTAGGTAACATTAATACCTTCCCAATTAACTAACAAGAATTTCAGAACCATAGAAATCTGAGTTAATACTCTTTCCTGCCTCTTAAATTATGAGTATGTAAGAGAACCTGTTTTTAAGTACAATTGGACTTTCTCATTCATAGGGGTTGGGGGAGCAGGAACCCTGTGAGAGTGGAAAGCCAACAAACATAGACCTGCTTTTTTTTTTTTACCTCAGAGAACATTTCTCTAAGTATTTGTAGGTCCTCCAGCACGATTCTATGATCAAGTTCTTGCAGAAATTGATCACAGAGAACCTACAAATGCTTAGAGAGAACATAGCCGCCTCACCCCCTACCCACCCCAGAGATCCCTTCGTTCGAAGACCAAGATTTGTTGGAAATTCCCAGTGTCAAAACCTTGCGTCTAACAGCAACCAGACGCAGAGCAGTGGCACCATCACTCTGGAATACTCTGCCACCTGAAGTCTGTGCCTTGCGGGACTTATCAGCTTTCTGCAGGGCATGTAAGACATATCTGTTTCGACATGCCTTTGATCTTTGATTGCTGTTTTTAAATTGTTTTAAATTGTGTTCAATTTTAGCCTGTTCTTGTAAGCCGCTCCGCGCCCCAGGGGAGTGGCGGCATATAAGTTCAAATAATAAATAAATAAATTTGCAAGCAGATATGGGTTCTGCAGCTAGGGAGATTTTATGCAAGGCCACAGAGGTGATGGCAGCAAATACAGCAATCCTCAGTGTGAATTGTATACCAAATATAGGCTCCCATGTAGCCTCTTCAGGATAAACTAGTGAATGTGCTGTCAAGTAAGTCTCAAGTTGTTACATTTGGAGCAGCTAGCTTCATTGTGTTGACAAGGCAAGAACATTGCTTTCCAGGCTATCTAAAAGACTAAATTATCCCGCAAGTCTACTTGGGCTTTGAGAACTTCAGAAAAGGTCTTTCTCTCTATCCCACAACTTTCAATAATACTGCAACATGAGACACAGTATTTCAAGAGGATAGATCCATCCCCAGACCCTTCTTATTCATGAACTATTTCAGTTTTTAGAGACAGAGCTTTTAAATTACTATTAATTTTACTGATAGATGAATTACAGTTGAGATTCTGCATCAGGAGGTGTAGCCATGTTATCTCACCATGCTACCTTCCAAGCTTCATAGCAACCCAACACAACCACTGGTGAACAGATGGTGAGCAGTGACATGCCAAGTCTTCTCCCAGTTGTAGGCTGTGCTGACAACTGGTGCCCAGTGTCCCAGTGTTTAGGAATGGCTGTGTTGGAAAACCAAAGACCTAGGGGTTTGCTGCAAATTGTAAAATACCCAAAATTATGAATTGGGAATAATTATGATGTCATACTGACAGGTTTACAACACTATAATTATTGTGCAGGATGCCAGCCTACAGCATAACAATCTTTTGCATGTGTCTAGTGATATTGTACCATAAGGCTTCTCTAACTGCAGAACCTGTATCTGCATCTTGAGGGAATGGTTTCTCTAGACCAGTGGTTCCCAACCTATGCACTTCCCAGGCCATTCCAGGAAAATAAAATAAACAAGAATTGAATGAAATTAACGAATAAGTTGAGACTAAATGGATATACTATGGTAAATTTTAAAGTTTTTAAAATAAAATTTTATCATATGCACATTTCACTACTATTATTTATTTCATAACAAAAGCATTGCAGACGTAAGTATGAAACTGATAAAAATAGGAGGAGCACTAAATATTTTTTTTTACCAAAATCAGACAACAGCAACCGCATTGTTTGCAGCTTTAAACAATTCTTCCTCTGTACATGAGGCAGGGCATTGTGGACAAGCATATATGTGTGGAGTTGTTTGTTCTGCTCCACAGTCTCACAAGGTGGAGGATTCTTTTTGGTAGTTCCATTGCGCAATTGTTTAAACATCTCTTTACATTCCCTTACTATCTATTCCCTCTTTTCCTCCACCCATAACCTTCCTCCTTAACACCATTAACTCAGCTTACCTGTCCAAACATACCTCTCCCTATGAACCATCTTGGGCCTTAAGATCATCTGAGGAGACCCTGATCTCAGTCCTGCTGTCTTCGCAGGCGCTACTGGCAGGGACGAGAGACAGGGCCATCTCAGTGGTGGCCCCTTGGCTGTGGAAATCCCTCCCTAGGGATATTAGATCAGCACCCTCCCTCCTGATCTTCTGTAAGAAAGTGAAAATGTGGCTTTTTGATAAGCCTTTGGAGATCTTGTGTAATAGATAAATACGTAATTGTGCAATTGAATATTGGAACGGCTCAAACTATGACTTTGGATAGTGAGGCTAACAGTGAAGATATTGTATTGTCGAAGGCTTTTATGGCTGGAATCAATGGGTTCTTGTGAGTTTTTTCGGGCTATATGGCCATGTTCTAGAGGCATTTTCTCCTGACATTTCGCCTGCATCTATGGCAAGCATCCTCAGAGGTAGTGAGGCCTGTTGGAACTAGGACAATGGGTTTATACATCTGTGGAATGACTGGAGTGGGGCCAAGAGCTCTTCTCTGCTGGAACTAGGTGTGAATGTTTCAACTGACCACCTTCATTAGCATTTGAAGGCCTGGCTGAGCCTGGGAGAATCTTTAGATGAGAGGTGTTAAGCTGTGCTTGGTTGTTTCCTCTCTGCTGTTTTCCTGTTGTAATTTTTGAGTTTTTTTAATACTGGTAGCCAGATTTTGTTCATTTTCATGGTCTCCTCCTTTCTGTTGAAATTGTCCACATGCTTGTGGATTTCAATGGCTTCTCTGTGTAGTCTGTCCTTTGCTGAACATAGCATTTGTTGGATTTTCTTGGTGGGTCTGTAGATTGTTTGCATGTTGTGTTTCCTCATCAGCTTCCCTATGCGGTCAGTGGTTCCCTTGATGTATGTGAAGATACTGTTTTTATGTGTTTTAAATATCTTAATGTATGCAATTTATAATTCGATTTTAAATGTTTGATTTAGTTGCACTTTGTTCTGAAGGCATCAAATGATTGTCTGGCCATAAAGCCACTTTATGTTGGCAGGGTAGAAATGTCGTAAATAAATAAACTCATAAGATATAGGATAAGCTGAATGGGCTCCACCATAGAAATTAATTCTAAAAAGGCATCCGCAAGTGAAAAAGCTTGGGAACCACTGCTCTAGGCACATGCTAGGCACTCAAGTAAAATTCAATAATATCCTGGAGCATAGAGTTGTGTTGGAGGACCTAGTCAATGCCATGAGAGAGTATTCCTCTAGGGATCTCTACACTGACCAGCCCCTCTCTATGTTTCGCTGTAGAAAAATTACAGGGAAAATGCAGGACTCAAATAATAAACTAAATTACAAATTATGTATTAGGACTTCCATTTTCATGATTTGTATTTGTATTTTACCTTGCTGCAATTCTGAGTTATATTTTATCTTTATGCCTATCTGGAAATCACTGACTTGTAGGTTATATACACAAGCTTTTTGCTAAAATACAATAAAATACAGATGGATAGATAATGCTTCTTCAGATCATTCAAACTTCAATATCTTGAGATAATCCTGAAACAAACTGGGGCTGAACATTTGATTGAACCTCTCTAATCACAACCCTGGAAATTGTATTTGAAACCAAATGAACAGCAGAGCTCCTTATTAACACTGTTGCTTTATTGCAAAATTTCAGTTGATGTAAACAGTTTTGAGGATGAAAAAATATCCTACCAGCAGCATCATCTCAAAGCAAGACTGCCTACTTTCTCAGGAGGGTATAACACTATGAGTTGGAGGACCTACAATATGACCTCCTCCTGAGTGATTGTAATGTTGCCACAAAGACATAGGAAACCGTTTCCTAGAGAATCTGCTATAATCTCTGGGCAAAGCACCACATTTTGTCAATGCAATGTAAATATCCACTGCAAAATATACGTTATGTTTCTATTCTGCAACTCTTGTGTTGAATAGCAACACAGTGGAACAAATTGCCTGCAATTGTGTATCTTCAAGACATTTCTACCTTATGGAGAGTCAAGTGCAAATCTAATACAAACCTAGCAAGTTCTTTTCAGAGAGGATTTGTCATTGCTGTTCTCTAGGGCTGAGTAGTATGACTTGTCATCCACTGGGTTTCCATGGTTCAGTGTGGATTTGAACCCTGGTTCCCCAGTCTTAATTCAACATCCAAATCACTACACTCTGCTGACTCTTGAACAAACAGACAATGTACATAGTTAATATCAGGGACTGCAACCAACCAGACATAGAATAATTGAATTGGAAGAGACCTCATAGGTCATCCAGTCCAACCCCCTGCCAAGAAGCAGGAAAATCAAATTCAAAGCACTCCTGACAGATGGCCATCCAGCCTCTGCTTAAAGCCTCCAAAGAAGTAGCCTCCACCACAAACTGGGGCAGAGAGTTCTACTGCTGAACAGCTCCAACAGTTAGGAAGTTCTTCCGAATGTTCAGGTGGAATCTCCTTTTTTGTAGTTTGAAGCCATTGTTCCAAGTCCTAGTCTCCAGGGTAGCAGAAAAAAAAGCCTGCTGCCTCCTCCCTATGACTTCCCCTCACATATTTATACATGGCTATCATGTTTCCTCTCAGCCTTCTCTTCTTCAGGCTAAACATGCCCAGCTCTTTAAGCCTTTCCTCATAGAGCTTGTTCTCCAAACCATTGATCATTTTAGTCACCCTCCTCTGGACACATTCCAGCTTATCAATATCTCTCTTCAATTGTGGTGCCCAGAATTGGACACAATATTCCAGATGTGGTCTGACCAAGGCAGAATAGAGGGGTAGCATGACGTGTACTCCACCCTTCTCTATCCCGACAGGGGACTTAAGGCAGTTTACAATGGCACAATGCCGTGCCTCAACACAATCACCTAAATATTTTAAAAATTGCAACGTATTAAAAAGAGTTAAAACAGATTTAAAAAGTTAAAAACTTAGAAAACACGCCATCCAAGTTCATAGTCTGAGTTCGTTCCAAGGTCAATTGCACAAGGTTTTGATTCAATATGTACATAATGTGATATCTTGAAGATGGGACCTAAATCTAAACATGAAATTCATCTATGCATCATATACACTTTATATCAGTTTTTAGATGCCACTGATTCTAAGATGCACACTAATTTTAAGTTTTATTCTGAGAGAAAAAAATGAGAAGATGTGCTACTGGGGAAGGAGGGAACAAGGGGATGTAGGAAGCAGTTGTCATTCTGGCTCCCCACCGCATTCCTGTCCTCAGTGCTTCTTACCTTTTACCACGCTACACCCAATGTGCTCCTCTGCCCTGATTTTCTCTTTTTGAGCCCTTGCCTTCCCTGATGCCACTTCCTCTCACAGCTAACTCACCATGGCTGATATGCACAGCTTCTCCTCTCTGAGTTGCCACTACTGTTCTTTGTCGCTGCTGTCTGAAAAAAGAAGTTGAGGAGAGGCAGCGGGCAAAAGAGTGGGAGGGCAGCCAGCAGGAAGCAAGGAAGCAGGAAGCAAGTGGAGAGCAAAAGCCAGCCATCAAGAATGGAGGCAGTGGCGAAGAAGCCGCCTGTGTCAGAAGTGTGAGGCATCAATGGAACGGAGAAGCACTGAAGAGCCACCACTTCATGCTCTTGGCACGCATTGCTTCTTGTCTCTTTGCTGCTGCCAACTACACTCTTGATGGCTGTGGCTTGCCCCCCATGTGCTGGCTTCCCTCCCAGTCTCTCACCCAGCACTGCTCCAGATCCTCTTAAAAAAAAAGAAAAAGCAAACAAACCACAAATCTAGGATGGGAGCGATTCTAGGGCACACCCCTTTTTGGAGCCTTGATTTTGGGGTAAAAAGGGACTGTTAGAATTGGTGAAATATGATACATAGCCTGAAGGTAAATTCATACATTTTTTTTTATAATAATCAAAAATCAAAGGTATTACTATTTCAGCCACTCATGTGGATGATTTTGGAGTATTTTGGATTTCGGTAGTATGGACAAAGAATGCTCAGTCATAGAATCATAGAGTTGGAAGAAACCTCATACAATCATAGAATTATTGAGTTGGAAGAGACCTTGTGGGCCATTCAGCCCAATCTCCTGCCAAGAAACAGGAAAATCACATTCAAAGAAACCCCAATAGATGGCCATCCAGCCTGTTAAAAAGCTTCAAAAGAAGGAGCCTCCACCACAGTCCAGGGCAGAGTTCCACTGCTGAACGGCTCTCATAGTTAGGAAGTCCTTCCTCGTGTTGGAAGGTGGAATCTCCTTTCCTGTCGTTCGAAGTCATTGTTCCACATCCTAGTTTGCAGGGCAGCAGAAAGCAAGCTTGCTCCCTCCTCCCTATGACTTCCCTTCACATACTCCTACATGGTCCCCATCATGTTTCCTCTCAGCTCTTTAAGCTGCTCCTCATAGGGCTTGTTCTCCAGACCCGGGATCATTTTAGTCGCCCTCTTCTGGACACCTTCCAACTTGTCAACATCTGCCTTCTATTATGGTGTCCAGAACTGGACACAGTGTGATTCCAGGTGTGTTATGACTAAGGCAGAATAGAGGGTAGCAATGAGTTCCCTGGATCTAGACACTATACTCCTATTGTAGAGCTCCCGGTGGTGCAGTGGGTTAAACGCCTGTGCTGGCAGGCCTGAAGACCGTCAGGTCGCAGGTTCGAATCTGGGGAGAGCGCGGATGAGCTCCCTCTATCGGTTCCAGCTCCTCATGCAAGAAGCCTCCCACAAGGATAAAACATCAACATCAAAACATCCGGCCGTCCACTGGGCAACGTCCTTGCAAACTGCCTATTCTCTCACACCAGAAGCGACTGGCAGTTTCTCAAGTCGCTCCTGACATGACAAAAACAAAACAAAACAAAAACTCCTATTTATGCAGGCCAAAATCCCATTGGCTTTTTATGTCGCCACATGACATTGTTGGCTCATGTTTAACTTGTTGTCCACAATCATTTTGAATTCTGCTCCTGTCTTCTGGAGTTTTAGCTACCACTCCCAATTTGGTGTCATCTGCAAACTTGATGATCATGTTTTTTAACCCTTCATCTAAGTCGTTAATAAGATGCTGAATAGGTTCAGGCCCAGGATGGAACCCTGCCGCACTCCACGCCTCATGGGCTATCCAGTCCAACCCCCTGCCAAGAAGCAGGAAAACTGCATCCAAAGCACCCCCGACAGATGGCCATCCATCCTCTGTTTAAAAGCCTCCAAAGAAGGAGCCTCCACCACACTTTGGGGCAGAGAGCTCTCACAGTCAGGAGGTTCTTCCTAATGTTCATAACCAGTCCATATCAGGATGCTGCCCAATTTCTTACAAAAAGGCCTCCATGCCTGGCTCTTTATATTTGATTGATTCTTCCCCACCCCCACCTCCCGCCCCACACACACAATGTGAAACTGTTGACATTCATTCTGTGGATACTCACCGATTCTTGCTTTATGATCGACTGGAAACAGTGCAAGGTTCCCCGATAAAGTGGCTTCTCCACATTTTGAACTTGAAGGCGTACCTGCAAAATGCAACCAGGATTTACTGAGATGGCAAAAAAATCAGCACTCAGCTTGAGAGTATTTTTATCTGGGTACATACAAAATAGCTATGTGCACATATACTTATGACATTACAGTGCCTCAAAACATGATGAAAGAGAATACTTGAATTTGGGGAATCTCTCAATTTTGGGTCAAGAGTACAGGAGTGGTCACTAAACAGTGCTCTTATTTAAGCAATGCAGCCACAGCAATACCTTTGCACTTAGTTCTGCAGCTGCTGCAGCAATTCTGGCTCTTTGCAGTCTTATCAGAGCATTTTATTCTTCCAAACCAAGATATATGTCCAGTAGGGATCTCGTGTGAAACCAGAAATAGTTGAATTTAGATTGATTTATAAATGGTTACTTACCCGATTGCCTGTGGTGACTTGAGGATTTTCTCCAGGCAAGCAGGCATGGATTTTTTGTTTGAGGCCACAATTGATGGAACGGTTATGTGATACCTTGACTTTTACAAACCCAATTAGTATTATCAGAATGGGAAAAAATCTAAATAAGTTTCAGTCCATGTAAATCTTTGTGAAATTTGCCAGAGAAATAAACCTTGGTATTTAAAGGATGTATTTTTGGGACCTAAACATTATTTAAAAAGAGTAATATATTTAACCAATATGTCTTCAAAAACACAACAAAGATAGAAAATCTAAGAGCATCTGTCTGGTAACACATTGTTACAAGCTTGTCCCAAATACATATTTTTTCATAAAATTTCCATTAAGTTATGTCAATTCCCCTTTCTCCTCTGCATCTACATTGCCAAGTTCTGTAACTCAGACTTATTACAAACTTGCATTTGAACACAACTGAGTGTGAAACCACAAGCCAACCAAGACCTAAAGAAATTATTAATACAAACATATAAATAATGAGCTCCCAATTTAAGGAGTGGATGAAATAAAATTCGCAATGCAAGAGGGCTTGTTTCCCAAACATATTTACACATTGTCAACTTTAAGCACAAAGGGGATAAAGCAATATTCGCACTACAGAATGAACTGCAGAAGTTAGAAGTAAAAGGTCATTCTTTAAATCAAGCTTGCAGACCCCACTCCCGCCATTCCAAAGCATTAGAAACATCATAAAAACTTAAAAGGAGGGGAATAAAGGAATGCACTACAAATGGTTTCCTAGTTGTTTGTTTGTTTGTTTATAAAACTCGAACTAGTCATACATGTTGGAATAAATGAAGACCGAGAGAAACAGAATGTTCACCTGGTCTATACTTACTAGGTAACTCTCCCGTGATGAGGCTTATCTGTCATCTACAACAAAGTAACACTTTTGCTGTTAATGAAGACAGCCCCTAGCTTAAAAAGTAAAGGCAGTTAAGCAACAAAGCAATTGTACACATGACATCAATAAACTGGGGTGGAAGGGGTAAAAAAGAGTAGCCACTTGGAGATTTTGTTTAGATTGAGTTCAGCATCTTTTACGTTTTACATTGTCCCACCAATCCCACAAGCTGTTTGCAGAGCTTGAAATAATTTCAATTTTGGTTTTTGGACTAAAACTCCCCAAGTCCTTCAGCTAGCAGCCACACTGGCTGGGCAAACCTGGGAGTTTTCGTCTCACTTCTTCAGGCTCTGGTTGTGCAGAGAGAAAAGTAAGCATTGGTTTAAAACCCAAGAATTTTTTTAAAAAACCCTAAAATTATCCTTCAGAAAATGTGGTTTAAAATAGAAAGCCCACTTAATAGCATTTAGCCACCCAGAAAAGCATTACAACTTTGAGTACAGCAAGCGAGCTGCAGATGGACAGACATTTGGGGGTAATTCTGCCATCCTATGCACACTTTCCTGGGTGCAAGTTGCCCAGTGGTGGGACTGATTTCCAAATCAACATGTATAGGATCTGACTGCAAGAGGATCTTGAAACAGAGTTCTCCCTCTTGGTGTGAGTAGGGATCCCATACTAATCAACAACACAGGAGCAAGCCAAATACAACTGAATTGGGTTCCTGTTTCTGTAAAGGATTTCAGTTTACACCCCGACCTTGAATACATTTGCTTTGCATGTACTTTCAAGCAAACTCATTTCAAAGTAAACATGTTTCTTGGTTTTGTGCTATGAAGAAGCCACAGTGCAGCCGCTTAGAGAGTTTGTGCCTGGCCAATGTGTAGTCCCATAGTAGAAGAAAAGTGGTATCAAAGTATTATATGTGCTATACTTACACTTTACCAGTTAAACTTCATTTTAAAAGGTGATAACAAACACAATGCTCTGATATTTTGTCTCATTCTGAAAATGTGCTCATTAGATGAATGAAGGAGTACAGAGATAGGAATTTATCTCATTTTAATAGGAGATAACTTAGGGGGAAAATCAATAGAATTTAACTGATAAGATTTAGGTACCAAAGAATATGTGTTTTTTCGTATCAGAAGTGGAGTTTGACACCACTTCAATTTTTTTTCATGTCAGAAGTGGCTTGAGGAACTGCAAATCACTTCTGGTGTGAGAGAATTGGCCTTCTGCAAGGACGTTGCCCAGAGGACGCCTGGATGTTTTACCATCCTGTGGGAGGCTTCTCTCATGTCCCTGAAGGAGAAGCTGGAGCTGACAGACCGCTCCCCGGATTCGAACCTCTGACCTTTTGGTCAGCAGTCCTGCCGGCACAAGGGTTTAATCCATTGCACCACGGAGGGCTCCATGAAAGGACTAGAAAACATGAAGCTGCAAGCAAAGAGCCTTTGTCCATAATACTTGCATTCTATGAAACACTAGACTTATTTATAATCACTGATGTATTATTGGCACACTCACTGCCATGACTCAGAATGCCTTGCTGAAACTCACAAACCATATAAAATAACTGGATTTAAGCCCATTTACTCTGGTTTGTGTCTCTGATATACTGGTCTTCAGAAGTTAATCTAGATGCAGATATGTTCACCCATCTGCATTTGAGCCCACAGTTCACCTTCTGCTGTTCTAAAATATTATTTTATGATACTATATTAAGATATTATTTATTATTTGTACAGGAACAGATTTTAGCTCACATAATCGTGTATCTCCAAAAGAAAGAAAGAAGAACTTTAAACTGATATAGAACAAATGGTCTTCAAGCAATATATTTCAATGTCTCAAATAGAGACGGGGGAAATAGACATTTCAAAAGTACAAGACTGTTTTTATTTGGTGTCGAGAAACACATTAAACAGTAAGACTGTTTCTTCAAGCAGTAAACAGCCATCTATACAAAATATTTTTGTAGTTTCAATGCAAACTGGGGAAAATGTAAATATTCACCAGATAACAATAAAGCAGATACGAAGGAGTTTTGTACTTTGTTTTGCAACTCTAGAACTGCATGTTACCAGGAAATCTGGTAGAATTTTTGTTTGATGTTAATGAATAAAATGCATAGTTTTATTCCTTAGTATGAATTCCTTAGTTTTATTCCTTAGTAATAAATGAATCAGTAGGAGGACTATGTCATTTGCATCTCAGAATTATTTATCTTTTGCTGATAAGTTAGATGTAAGTGTGAGGAAGTTGTTCTGCTTCAGTGTGAGTTTAAATCTATTTGAGTTCACCAAATCAGTATTTGGCCTGCCAGGATTTTTATTTAAAGGGTCTGAAACATGGAAGTTTCCCCACCGCCACTGTGTCCATTATTAAAGGCCAGAGGTAGCTTCAACCTAGTGTTTATCGTAGGTAAGCCAGTGGAAAGTTAACCCACCTTAACTGTGTCAAACGGATGTCCTACCAACACACCAGCGGCACCTGAAATGAAGCAAAAGACAGTTTCAGGACATCTAGTATTGCATTGCTACAGCAACCAATGCAGAAGAGGAGGTTTGTCGTGTTTCATATGAAATATCTTGCGGGAAGGAACCCCATTCCTTCCCGCAAGAACCAGTAATGGTGGTCAGGTATTAAGAACTAATGTGCTGCCCTTGACTAATAAGAATCTGTCATTAACATTGAAAGAGCCCCATGCCCCATCTACACTGCCAATATAATCCAGTCAGGCATTCCCCAAGTTACAAACATTCGATCTACAAACAAATCATAGCTAAGAATGGGGGTGAGACAACAAGACGTGAGAGAAATCTACCCCTCTGAAGGGAAATTCGCTCCTGAAAAAAGGTATCATGGAGGAAAGATGTCTCAACTGAAGCATTCTCACCAAACCATGTTTCCACAACAAGCTACATTTTTAAAAATCCAATTATCACAGAGACGGAATATGAGGTGTAGTCTTTTGAACAGGAGCACAGACAATGACACAAACACCACAGGAGTATTAAGCCTTACCTATGTATGCATGCATGTATGTGTGTATATATTTGTGTGTGTTTTGTTTATTCACTCAGTACTCTTCATGACCTCATGGACCAGCCTCCCCCCACCCCACATATAGGCTGGAGTTACATTTAAAATGTATCTGTTGCAACATACATACAAATTCAACTTAAGAACCAACCTACACAACCTATTTTGTTCCTAACTTGGGGACTTCTTATATCTGATTACAGATTATATGGCATTATATGGCAGTGTAGACTCATATAATCTAGTTCAAACATGATAATGGTGTAGTAGTTGAAGTATGACTTTGGAGACCAGGATCTGATTCCTGGCTTTGCCATCTTGGGCAAGTCACTACCTCAGCCCCAGAGGAAAGCAAAGGTAAACTTCCTCTGAGCCAATCTTCTCTCTGTCTCTCTCTCTCTATATATATATATAAATAACAAAAGATGTGTTAGGGTTGTTTGACGGGCGTCATATGTTGGAATCAATCTTAATTATTATTATTATTTTTACAAAAGATGTGTTAGGATTGTTTGACGGGCATCATGTGTTGGAAGCAACTTGAAGATGTTGGGAGTTCAGCTACATCCTGCCCAAGTCTATAATCCTCATTAAGGAAATAGACAGAGAATACCTTCCCCATTATCCTCCCTGAATGCCTGTTGTCTCTGCCTGCCTTTCTCTCTCTCTATTCCCTCCTCCCATCTCATTGATGACGCAGACTGATATTTCTCAGGTTGCATGCCTTTTGTGTTAAGTTACCCAAACCTCATGTTCAGACTCTCTAAGTCTTTGTGTCAGATGCCGAACATAGTTTTTGAGTTTTTCCTATTGTTTGGTCTTAGATGGAAATGGAGATTATACCAAATTTCTACTTAGATTGAGCTAGCTAGTTTATCCCCATCTTTTCGATCTAGAAAACGTGGTTGTTCATATTTTTAATAAACCTTTCAAAATTTAAGGGAAGACTCGACTTTTCATTGTTTTTCAGCTCAAGATCCCTTCAGCCACACTGTTGCCTCCTGCTTTGCAGAAGTAAGCTACTCTGCTGTGTTTTGTCTTTAAAATGCCTGTTATTTGGGGGAAATTTCCATAACAGAAAACACACAGCAACAACTAACATTAGAATAACAAACAAACAGAGATAAACATGGGTCTAGAAACTATTAATTAAAGGAGGAATGTCAACTAAGAAAATCTTTCCAGATGGTGTGAACCATGATTTTCAAACTGGTTAAGAATGGTGGCAGTTGCACTCCAACATACTTTGGAAAGTGACAGGTTGGAAAAGGCTTGTCTAAAGTCCTTTCCACAAAACTGAATCATTTCCTGACTCAGGAAATGCTGAGGTCTCTCTGCTACCATGATAGTAAAGCACCAGTGTCATGAGTATACTGCTGCCTTAGTGAAATTCTCAGGTAGGGATAATGATGTATTTTCTCAGGAATCTCTAGGTCCTCCAGGATGACTTTATGGCCGATATAGCAGAGATTGATCACAAAGTCTTACTGAAGGATTTAAGTATTCTAGAAATCTGTAGGGATACCAAGGTGTTTGTTTATAAAGCTATTGTCCTCCCAACCCTGCTGTACGCTTGCAAAATGTGGACTGTCTACAGATGTCACATGCAACTGCTGGAACGATTTCATGAGCGTTGCCTCCGAAAAATCCTGCAACTCTCTTGGGAAGACAGATACACAAATGTCAGCATGCTGGAAGAAGCAAAAACCACCAGCACTGAAGCGATGGTCCTCTGCCATCAACTCCAGCCACATTGTCTGAATGCCCGATCATCATCTCCCCAAAGCAGTTACTATCATCCCAACTCAAGAAGAGGAAAAGTAATGTTGGTGGACAGGAAAAGAGATTTAAAGATGGGCCTAAAGCTGATCTTAAAAACTGTGGCATAGACACCGAGAACTGGGAAACCCTGGCCCTTGAGCGCTCTGGCTGGAGGTCAGCTGTGACCAGCAGTGCTGAAGAATTTGAAGAGGCGTGAATGGAGGGCGAAAGAGAGAAATGTGCCAAGAGGAAGGCGCATCAAGCCAACCCCGACCAGGACCACCTTCCACTTGGAAACGGATGCCCTCACTGTGGGAGAAGATGCAGGTCAAGAATAGGGCTCCACAGTCACCTACGTTGGATACACTGATCCTGGAAGACTATCCTATTCAGACACGAGGGATTGCCTAAGTAAGTAAATAGCTGGGCATGTTTAGCCTGCAGAAGAGAAGTCTGAGAGGAGACATGATGGCCATGTGTGTGTGTGCATATATATGCACACACACACACCACACACATATATGTGTGTGTGTGTGTTTGTGAGAGTCATAGGGAGGACGGAGAAGCTTGTTTCCTGATGCCCTAGAGACAAGGATGCAGAACAATGGCTTCAAACTATAGGAAAGGAGATTTCACCTGAACATGAGGAAGAACTTCCTGACTGTGAGAGCTGTTCAGCTGTGGAACTCCCTGCCCCAGAGTGTGGTGGAGGTTCCTTCTTTGGAGGCTTTCAAACAGAGTCTGGGGGGCCATCTGTCAGGGGTGCTTTGATGGCGATTTTCCTGCATCTTGGACTGGATGTCCCATGAGGACTCTTCTAACTCTATGATTCTATTCCCCAAATAATTCACATTCCCTCACACTGCAAACTTGAGCAAGCCAAGTGAGATACTACACACCCTATCATTGCAGGAGCAGTTCCAAAACATGGGAAAGAGAAACACAAAACCTTCTACAAGGGCTAGTGCTCTTGCCAGATTGTGGTAAGCAACCATTTCATTGTCATAGGAAATGATGCAAGAACTTAAGAAAGATTTGCGTGCAAACATTTCATGACTTTGAGGAGCCTTATTGTTTCAAGATTGCCACAAATTTCAGTTCTGATTCTGCTCTTGTCTTCAAGATTAGACCAGGGTTAGTATCTAAAATGGTTGTAAATCCTACTTGCTGAAGATCTTCGTGTAAGGACACCACTGTATGCTGCTGTGTAAATCTTATTAAAAACGACTTGGCAAGGTAGGAATTCACATGTAAGTGGCTTACGGTCTGCAGATGAAAATCCCAAGTACAGACTGTTCCACCTAACCCTCCATTCTGCTTGCAAAGGGGAAGTTGACACAGAGACGTCAACAAGCAAAGAGAAAAGGGAGCTTTGATAGGCTGAAGACTGTCAAATGTTCCTCAGCAAACCAACTTGAGGAATTTCCAAAGTGTTCAGCCTGTTGCAGCAAAAAAAAAAAAAAGAATCACATGGCTTCTGAAAGACTGAATACAGGGTAAAGGTAAAGGTTTCCCCTTTACATTAAGTCTAGTCATGTCCAACTCTGGAGGGTGGTGCTCATCTCCATTTCTAAGCTGAAGAGCTGGTGTTGTTTGTAGACTGCATGTAGTGCTATTACCTTCCCTTCTGAGCGGGACCTTTTTATCTACTCACATTTGCAAGTTTTCGAACTGCTAGATTGGCAGGAGCTGGGGCTATCAACAAGAGCTCACCCTGTCCCGCAGATCTGAACAGCTGATCTTCCGTTGAACAAGGTCAGCAGCTCAGCACTTTAATCCACTGCGCCACCGTGCCCCCTTCCAAAAAATACAGGGTATAAGGAAGTGTTCCTCAACCTGGAGGTTGGGACCTGGGAGGGGTCATCAGAGGGGTCACCAAAGACCATCAGAAAACACAGTATTGTCTGTTGATCATGGGGTTTTTATTGTAGGAAGTTTGGCCACAACTTTGTGAAGTTCAGAATGCTTTTTGATTGTGGGTGAACTAAAACTCCCAAATGTCAAGATCTATTTCCCCCAAACTCCACCAGTCTTCACATTTGGGCATATTAAGTATTCGTGCCAAGTTTGGTCCAGATCCATCATTGAGTCCACACTGCTCTCGGGATGTAGGTGAACTGCAACTCCCAAACTCAAGGTCAATGCCCACCAAAACCTTTCAGTATTTTCTCTTGGTCATGGGAGTTCTGTGTACCAATTCCACTATTGGTGGAGTTCGGAATGCTCTTTGATTGCAGGTGAACTATAAATCTCAGCAACTACAACTCCCAAATTCAATTGAGGAGGGTTCTATGGGTACCATGAATGGCTGCAAAGACAAATGAATGAGGCCCAGCAGAATTAATGCCAAGACTGTTGGATTTTGAGTCTATGATGGGACTACAAGACTCACTGGAAAAGATGATAACACTATGCAACACATTTTTTGTTCCTGGGTTATAAATGTCATTTCCTTATTGGTTCTATCATAAAAACCTGAAAAAAGTGTATTAAACTGCAAAAACTTTGTTTTTGCGGTTTGCACCATAGGTTAAAAATAGCACATGAAAGGCTAAAAATAGCACATTGAAAAGTAAAAGGTGACAGCCACAGAAACGAAGTTTGTGGGGTATAAGAACTACTTTCAAAGTAATTACCTCACTATTAAATAGAAAGTAACATTTTCAAACCAGTAACAGAATTTTGTTACATAGTGTAATGTTTGGTAAAATAGAAAGCTGTAAGAAAAGTGGCTACAGTCCTAAGAGTGCAAGACTATAAGCAACACAGCTGATGGGAGATCTTGGAAGAGTTGTGATAAATCAGAGTTGAGGCAGTGGCATTAATATTTTGTCAACTACAACCATCCTTGGTGGATGCATGAACTAAACATGGAAATCCGCTTTCATTTTGTGTTGCTGCAAGTTTTCTGGGCTGTCTGCCCATGTTCCAGAAGCATTCTCTCCTTATGTTTCACCCACATCTACGGTAGACATCCTCAGAGGTTGTGAGGGCTGTTGGAAATTAGGCAAGTGAGGTTTATATATATGTGGAATAATGTCCAGGATGGGAGAAAGAACTCTTGTCTGCATGAGGCAGGTGTGAATGTTGCAAGTGGCCAGTTTGATTAGCATTGAATGACCTTGCAGCTTCAAAGCCTGGCTACTTCCTGCCTGATGGAATCCTTTGTTGGGAGGTGTTAGCTGGTCCTGGAGCCCCCTGTGGTGCAGTTGGTTAAACCCTTGCACCAGCTGAACTGGTCAACCAAAAGCAACTTGAAGTTTCTCAAGTGACTCCTGATATGAAAATAAAAAAATCTGACCCTGATTATTTCCCAGGTTTTGAAGCTGCAAGCCTTATGAGGCTTAAAGAGCTGGGCATGTTTAGCCTGCAGAAGAGAAGGCTGAGAGGAGACATGATGAGGGCCATGTATCAATATGTGAGGGAAGTCATACGGAGGAGGGAGCAAGCTTGTTTTCTGCTGCCCTGGAGAGTAGGACGTGGAACAATGGCTTCAAACTACAGGAAAGGAGATTCCACCTGAACATGAAGAAGAACTTCCTGACTGTGAGAGCTGTTCAGCAGTGGAACTCTCTGCCCTGGAGTGTGGAGGCTCCTTCTTTGGAGGCTTTTAAACAGAGGCTGGATGGCCATCTGTTGGGGGGTATTTTGAAGGCGATTTTCCTGCTTCTTGGCAGAATGGGGTTGGACTGGATGGCCCACCAGGTCTCTTCCAACTCTTTGATTCTATGATAAGGCTAATCAAGGTGGCCAATCGCAACATTCACCCTTGCCTCAAGCAAACAAGAATTCTTTCTCCAATTCTGGACATTCCAGAGATTTATAAACCCCACTTGCCTAGTTTCCAACAGACCTCACAACCTTTGAGGATGCCATAGATGTGGGTGAAACGTCAGGAGAGACTGCTTCTGGAACATGGCCATACAGCCCAGATAACTCACAGCAACCCAGTGATTCCAGCCATGAAAGCCTTGTCAACAACCAGACCCCAACTGAGGGCCCTTCCAGACAGGCTTTATATCCCAGAATCTGATCCCAGGTTTTCTGCTTATTCCAGATTATCTGGCAGTGTGTTGGACTCATAGAGTCCAGTTCAAAGCAGGAAACCTGTGACCAAATCCTGAGATGTAGGGCCTGTTGGGAAGGCATGATCTTGAGGTTTTAGCAAAGGAAACAGACCATAATGAAACTACCTAGGCAGAGGCTGGGGCACCGCTTTGAAGTAATGCTTGCTAGACAAAGACTCCTTGCTTCTTTTTACATGATCTCTCCACTTACTTAAAGCGACTTAAGGAAGTTATTTTGCCCTCCAGGGAAATGAATAAGAAATGGCTCAGGAGTTCTTACAAACCAGGAGGAAAACAATCTGCATTCCCTCAGGGTCCTCCTTACTCAATGCTTCTACTACAACAGTGTTTCTCAACCTTCCTAATGCCTTGGCCCCTTAACACAGTTCCTCATGTTGTGGGGACACCCAAACACAAAATTATTTTCGTTGCTACTTCATAAGTGGAATTTCACTACTGTTATGAACTGTAATGTAAATATCTGATATGCAGGATGTATTTTCATGCACTGGACCAAATTTGGCACAAATACTCGATATGCCCCAATTTGAATACTGGTGAGGTTGGGGGGAGGGGGGATTGATTTTTCTCATTTGGGAGTTGTAGTTGCTGGGATTTATAGTTCACCTACAATCAAAGAGCATTCTGAACCCCACCAATTATATAATTGACACACAGAACTCCCATGATCAACAGAAAACACTGGAAGGGTTTGGTGGGCATTGACCTTGAATTTGGGAGTTGTAGTTCACCTACATCCAGAGAGCACTGTGGACTCAATGATGGATCTGGACCAAACTTGGCACGAATACTTAATATGCCCAAATGTGAACACTGGTGGAGTTTGGGGAAAATATGGGAGTTGACATTTGGGAGTTTTAATTGCTGGGATTTATAGTTCACCTAGAATCAAAGAGCATTCTGAACCCCAGCAATGATAGAATTGACACACAGAACTCCCATGACCAACAGAAAATACTGGAAGGATTTGGTGGGCATTGACCTTGAATTTGGGAGTTGTAGTTCACCTACATCCAGAAAGAACTGTGGACCCAAATTTGGCAAAAATACTCAGTATGCCCAAATGTGAACACTGGCATAGTTTGGGGGTGGGAATAGACCTTGACATTTTGGAGTTGTAATTGCTGGGATTTATAGTTCACCTACAATCAAAGAGCATTCTGAACCCCACCAATGATAACATTGGGCCAAACTTCCCACATAGAACCCTCATGACCAACAGAAAATACTGGGTTTTCTGATGGTCTTTGCTGACCCCTCTGACACCCCATGACCCCCAGGTTGAGAAACCCTGTACTACAAGGAACATTCCAGGAAATGGTTCAACATCACCACCTTCCTTTAACAAAAGAAGAGATTAAACCTAATTGCCATGGGCACACTTGGGCCTTCCCTCCAGGTGTTTTGGACTGCAACTCCCACAATTCCTAACAGCCACTCCAGTTAGGAATTGTGGGAGTTGTAGTCCAAAACACCTGGAGGGAAGGCCCAAGTGTGCCCATGCCTGGCCTAGCCCAATATCCCAACAATCCAAAGGGAAACCCGCACCAATCCCAAACACTTCTGTTCCCATGCCTTTGAGGCTCAACCGGTCTCATGCCTAGAATGGCAACGTCATCTCCAGCCCTGGACTGGATCCAAGCGACATCTTTCCAAGCAGAGTCAGGCTCCTGGGGCCTAGAGAGCTCCGCCTTCGCCCTCCTCCATTCAGGCCCATGGAGTCCCCGGTGCTTTTCCTCCAAGAGAGCCCTCAGAGGGAGAGAAGCCCCATTCCTGCGCCCTGACTCCCTCCCTCCCTCCCTCCAAAGACAATGCGCCTCGGGGACAATGGGCCAAATGCCGCGGCGTGCCACTCCTGGGCAGGAAGCCCGGCTCGTTGGGGACAAACGTCACACCGAATCGCCCCCGGGACCGGGTTTTCCAGCAGGGCGGATTCCCCCTCCCTGCCTAATCCACGCGTGAAAGCAAGCAAGCAAACAGAAAAGCCTTCTCTTTCTATGCGCATCCCAACTGCAGTGCGCCAAGCCACGCAGGCAGCTCTCCCTCCAAAGGCGCAACGAGGCAGGCAAGCCATCGCTGCCATCCAAGCCTTGCCTTCCTCCCTTCTTCTCTCTTTGCGTTCTGCCTTCCTCCATCTTCTCCTTCCTTTTTTCTCTTTTTTCCTTACTTCCCTTGCAGTCTTCCTCCTTCCCCTTTCTTCCTTTCTGCATCCTTTCTTTCCTTCTCCCTCCTTCCCATTCTTTCTCCTTTAACTTGTCTTCTTCCTCTTTTGCGTCATTTCTTCCCCCTTCCTTTCCTTCTCCCTTTGAATTCTTTCTCCCTCTCTTTATTCTCTTTTTTCCTTCCTTTTTCCTCCTTTGCTCCCTTCCCTACCCTTTCTCCCTCCCAATCTTTCTCCTTTACCCTTTCTAGTTCCCCTCTTCTTCATCCTTTGCTTCCTTCCTTCCCCCTTTGAATTCTTCCTTCTCTTTCCTTCCCTTTTCCTCCTTCTCACTCTTTCTCCTTTGCTCCCTTTTCTTCCGTCTTCCTTTCTTTCCCCTTTCTTCACTCCCACTGTCCCGCCTTTACCTTTTCTTCTTCCCTTTCTTCTTCCTTCCTTCCTCTCTTCTCCTTCCCTCTTTCTTTCCTTCCCTCCCTCTCTCTTCTTCCCTTCCTTCTCCCTTTGAATTCTTCCTTCCTCTATTCTTTATTTCCTTTCTCCCTTCCTTCTCTTCTGCCCTTCCCTTTTCCTCCCTTGCTCGCTTTCCTTCTTCCACCTTCCCCTTCCTCTCTCCTTCCTTCCTTTCCCCTTTCCTCCCTCCCACTGTTCCTCCCCTCTCTTCTTCTCTCCCTCCCTCTTCCTTTATTTTCCTTTCCCCTCTCTCCTTCCTTCCTTCTCTCTTCCTCTCTCCTGTCTTTCCCCGTCTCTCTCCTTTCCTTCCTTCCCTCTCTCTTCCTCTCTCCCTTCCCTTCTTCCTTCCTTCCCTCTCTCTTCCTCTCTCCTTTCCTCCACGCCCCTCTCCTTTCCTTCCTTCTCTCTTGCTCTCTCCTTCCTTCTCTCTTCCTCTCTCCTTCCCCCCTTTTGCCGCTCTCACCTCCTACGCAGCCGGCGAGGAAATCCAGCGCCATGATCCTCTCCAAGGCGGCGCGCCGTCGGCTCCCAAAAAAATCTCTTTCCCTTCCAAAAAACCCCCCTTTTGCGATTCCTGGTCTTTTCTTCTTGTTTAAGATCCGGATTCCTTTGGGGAAGAAGTGGGGGAGGAGGGGGACCTGATCAAGGGATGGAGGAGGAGGTCTGGAAGGGGAGAGAGGAGAGCGGGCGAGGCTTGCTTTGCAGGAGAGGACGCTTTGGCGACGGGGCTGCCTTGCGGCTGGCTCTGGCTGCCTTCTTCCTCCCCAAAATACAAAGGCTGCTGCTGCTGCTGCCTCCTTTTCCTCTTCCTCCTCCTCCTCCTCTCCCTCCGCTTCCTCTCTGCCCGTTTCTATTTCTGACGCCCAAAGCAGGCAAGAGGAGGAGGAGGAGGAGGAGGAGGAGGAGGCAGCGGGGGAAGCGCGGCGCCTTATCGGGAAGCGGCGGGGCCCTCCAATCAGAAGCGCCGAGAGGGGCAACGCCCTCCCGGGGGGCCGCCCTCAGTCCTCGACGCCAATTGGCCGCCCGGCTGGGGAGGCTTCGAAGGGAGGCCAAGGGAAGCCACGCCCCTTCCCTCCCTCCCCCCCCTGGAAAGGCTTGTCTTTCTATAGTCGAGTCCTCCAGGTGTTTAGGACTTCAACTCCCAGAAGCCTCAGCTGCTTGAGCCAACCAGCAGGGACTCTGGGAGCTGGAGTCCAAAACGCCTGGAAGTCCATTCTCAAATTCCTGGCCATTGAACAAGCTGGCTAGGGCTTCTGGGAGTTGGAGGCCGCAGTTTGAGGATTGCCTGGACTACTGAGTCGCCTGAAGGCTGAGAAGGACGTAGGGCTGGGCGGTTTCGTTCGTTAATTTCGTAATTCGTTATTAATTTGTTATTTTTTTTGGATAACGAAGCGATATTGAACCATTCAGGAGCAACTTAAAATCGAAACGAATTTTTCAATTTATTTCGTAATTGTTTCGTAATTGGTGAAATCATTTCGAAATTGTTTCGTTATTATTTCCGTATGTCTGGTGCAAGTTTTATAGTTGTTGTTTGTTTCATCAGTGATAAAAAAATAAATTATCACACCAACAGTCAACAACAGAGGGAGAGAAAAGCTTCAAAAGTTCCCCCTGTCCCATTTGGAGGTTTTTTTTAGCGTATTGCGCAATCACGTCCACCATTAACAAATCGATTCGTAATTGTTTCGTAATTTACAAAATTTCTTATATTTCGAACTTTTTTAAAGAAAAATTCGGAATTCTTTTAAATAACGAAACACAAAAAAACCCTAAAAACAAATCGAGTTTAGAAACAATTTTTTCCGTGGTTGGACAGCCCTACTAAACTCCAGAGGACAGGAGCAGGATTCAAAACGATCTTGACAGATTAGAGAGATGGGCAAAAACTAACAAAATGAAGTTCAACAGGGACAAATGCAAGATACTCCACTTTGGCAGAAAAAACGAAATGCAAAGATACAGAATGGGGGACAATGCCTGGCTCGAGAGCAGTACGTGTGAAAAAGATCTTGGAGTCCTCGTGGACAACAAGTTAAACATGAGCCAACAATGTGATGTGGCAGCAAAAAAAGCCAATGGGATTTTGGCCTGCATCAATAGGAGCATAGTGTCTAGATCTAGGGAAGTCATGCTACCCCTCTATTCCGCTTTGGTTAGACCACACCTGGAATATTGTGTCCAATTCTGGGCACCACAATTCAAGAGAGATATCGACAAGCTGGAATGTGTCCAGAGGAAGGCGACTAAAATGATCAAGGGTCTGGAGAACAAGCCCTATGAGGAGCGGCTTAAGGAGCTGGGCATGTTTAGCCTGAAGAAGAGAAGGCTGAGAGGAGATATGATAGCCATGTATAAATATGTGAGAGGAAGCCACAGGGAGGAGGGAGCAAGCTTGTTTTCCGCTTCCTTGGAGACTACGACGCGGAACAATGGCTTCAAACTACAAGAGAGGAGATTCCATCTGAACATGAGGAAGAACTTCCTGACTGTGAGAGCCGCTCAGCAGTGGAACTCTCTGCCCCGGAGTGTGGTGGAGGCTCCTTCTTTGGAAGCTTTTAAACAGAGGCTGGATGGCCATCTGTCAGGGGTGATTTGAATGCAATATTCCTGCTTCTTGGCAGAATGGGGTTGGACTGGATGGCCCATGAGGTCTCTTCCAACTCTTTGATTCTATGATTCTACTGAGTCGCCTGAGGCCTGAGAAGGGTGGTATACAAATACTGTATATTAAATAAATCTATATAAATAAAAATGTAATTTTTGTTTGTGGGACTCAAAAACCACTGGATGAATTGACACCAGATTTGGACATAAGACACCTAGCAACCCAATGTACGTCTTTCACCAAAAAAAAAAATGATTTTGTCATTTGGGAGTTGTAGTTGCTAGGATTTAAAGTTCACCTACAATCAAAGAGCATTCTGAACCCTACCAATGCTGGAATTGAACCAAACTTGGCACACAGTTCTCCCATGACCATCAGAAAATACTGGAAGGGTTTGGTGAGCAGTGTCCTTTGGTTTTGGAGTTGTAGTTCACCTACATCCAGACATCACTGTGGACTCAAACAAGGATGAATCTGGACCAAACTTGGTACGAATACTCAAGATACCCAAATGTGAACACTGGTGGAGTTTGGGGAAACTAGAATCTTGACATTTGGGAGTTGTAGCTGCTGGGATTTATAGTTCACCTACAATCAAAGAGCACTCTGAACCCCACCACTGATAGAATTGGGCCAAACCTCCCACACAGAACCCCCATGACCACCAGAGTGGGCCATAGCAAGACGTGGCAGGGGACGGCTAGCAAATAAATAAATAGCGTTTCAGCAACACTGCCCTTGGTTCCACTTCCACTACCCTTGGTTCAATTTTAGAGGACGGTTTTAAATGGTGTATTTTAATATTGAGATAAATGTTTTTAATGCTTTATAGGCAAATGCCAGCACTTTGAATTGTGCTCAGTAGCAGACTGGCAGCCATTTGAGCTGATGCAACAGGAGGGATGTCCTCTCCCTGTAGGCCGTTCTAGTGAGCAGCCCGGCTGCTGCCAATTGAACTACTTGAAGCTTCCGAACAGTCTTCAAAGGCAACCCCACACAGAGCATGTTGCAGTATTTGGGATGCAACAAGTACGTGGACCACTGTGGCCAAGTCTGGCTTCCCAAGGTACGGGCACAACTGGCACACAAGTTTGAATTGTGCAAAAGCTCCCCTGGCCACTGCTGAAGCATGGGGTTCCAGGCTCAGTGATGAGTCCATGATCACTTTCAAGCTGTGAACCTGTATCTTCAGGGGGAGTGTAACCTCATCCAGCACAGGCTGTAACCCTATGCCCTGTTTGGCATTATGACTAACCAGGAGTACCTCTGTCTTGCCTGGATTCAATTTCAATTTGTTCGCCCTCATAAAGACTGCTTTTGTGTCATATGTTTTGTTATCTCTAGCACAAGCGTGGGCAAACTTGGGTCCTCCAGGTGTTTTGGACTTCAACTCCCACTTCCGATAGGCTGTTAGGAATTGTGGAAGTTGAAGTCCAAAACACCTGGAGGGCCCAAGTTTGTCCATGCCTGGAACAGAAAAATGACTGTATCTCAGCTGCATTGTTTTCTTTTTCTTTCTTTGAACTGTTGGAATGTTTCAAGACTCTTGGCAAGATCCATGCATAACATTCCTTTGTTGAGACATTAAATCTTCAATATCGCCAGTCCTGTTCAGTAATAAAGGTATTAAAAAAGAAACTTTAAACCAGAAATATTCTTGTGTGGTTGCATGCCTTCAAGATGCGTGTCAACTGCTGGTGACTGCATAAATTTCATAGGTTTTTTAAAAGGCAAGAAGCGTCAGTTCCTTCCTCTAAAATACTGCTTACACTACCTGGAATTTGCTGGCAGTCTCCCATCCAAGTAATAACATTCCAAAAAATCTTTCCATAATCTTTAATCATTTCTGCCAGTTTTGGCTTCTGAGCTAGGGAGACTCGCTGTACCGCAAACCTTAAAAAATAGGTTTGCCATTTTTCTAAGCCCTACATTTTCTACTCTGTTTCTGCTTATTGGCAGAGGATTTGTCCTTATTATAAATAAACTTTGTGGCCTAAATAGCGCCCATATATTTGATGCCAGATGTTTAAGTTAGACAAAAGGAGTCAACATCTGTTGGGAAACTGAGATGAAGCCAGGATGTCTCAGCATGGAAAACGTCTATCATTCATTTACAACTTTGGGACAACATCAGCAGAGTTGTAGGTTTTTTGGGCTATATGGCCATGTTCTAGAAGCATTCTCTCCTGACATTTCTCCTGCATCTATGGCAAGCATCTTCAGAGGTTGTGACCTCACAACCTCTGAGGATGCTTACCATAGATGCAGGTGAAACATCAGGAGAGAATGCTTCTAGAACATGGCCATATAGCCCAAAAAACCTACAACAACCCAGTGATTCCAGCCATGAAAGCCTTCAACAATACATTGAACATCAACAGAAATATTGCTATATAAGAGACCTTATTACATTCCAAAGATTGTGACAGACAGCAGAGCTGTTCACCCACCTCTCTGGTCCATCAGAAGGACGGAGAGGGTGAATGCCTCCTTTTCTCAAAGGAAGAGGAAGGAATGCATTTTCGGAGTCTTGGATTTTATGCAGGGAGTGAGTTTCTGCTGTAGGGAAAACACAGATCTGGTCTTTGGCATTGTAATTGGAGAAAAGGGTTTTGGTATTTTGGCATTATGGAAGTTTTGGAACTGTGTGTTGGCAAGCTGCAGGGAAGCATGGTCTGGCCTAACAGGTGCTTTCCAAGGAGGGAGAAAGGATATGGTAATATTTGTATGCATGTATATGTGTGTGAATTCTGAATAAAATGTAACCCTTTTCTTGGTTTGTTGTTAGCCAATGTAACTGTTGGCTTGTGGAATCTAATTTAGTTAGTTACATAGAATCTGTACCTCTATATGTCCAATGTCATTCTTTGTGTAAAAGTTCTGATACTCTTTCTCTTACTGGAAAAAAGAAGAACCTATACTTTAAAGATATTGAAAGGTGTCTTTAAATTCTGTGCTGAACACAATTACAAAAAGACCTAAAATAAAACCAATGTTATATTGTTCTTGTACAAGTCCATGGTAGGTCCACATATTGTGCAGTTTTATGGTCAGCTCAAAAAAGAGAGAGAGAGAGAGTTGGGTCACTGTATTAATAGACTGTTACATTACATAGGTCTTTGATTTGATCCAACATGGATCTTCTCATAATAAAAAATGGATTCCTCTCCCAAACACTTACAATGGGAGCCCATGGCACCAGAATGACCCAGCAACTGAACTGTGTGATATTTATTCACTATCATTTAGAAGCTACACCATGTTTCTATAAAAGGCACTGTAAATGGTGCACTGAAGAAGGAATGAC